CCATATTTCTGTGTCAGCGGTGGGGTCCTCCTGGGGTCTCCTCCCATATTTTCTGAGTCAGCGGGTGGGGTCCTCCTGGGTCTCCTCTCCATATTTTCTGTGTCAGCGGTGGGGGTCCTCCTTGGTCTCCTCCCATATTTCTGTGTCAGCGGTGGGGTCCTCCTGGGTCTCCTCCATATTTCTGAGTCAGCGGTGGGGTCCTCCTGGGTCTCCTCCCATATTTCTGTGTCAGCGGTGGGGTCCTCCTGGGTCTCCTCCCATCCCATATTTCTGTGTCAGCGGTGGGGTCCTCCTGGGTCTCCTCCCATATATTCTGTGTCAGCGGTGGGGTCCTCCTCCCATATTTCTGTGTCAGCAGTGGGGTCCTCCTGGGTCTTCCACCATATTTCTGTGTCAGCGGGTGGGGTCCTCCTCCCATATTTCTGTGTCAGTTGGTGGGGTCCTCCTGGGTCTCCTCCCATATTTCTGTGTCAGCGGTGGGGTCCTACTGGGTCTCCTCCCATATTTCTGTGTCAGCGGTGGGGTCCTCCTTGGTCTCCTCTCATATTTCTGTGTCAGCGGTGGGGTCCTCCTGGGTCTCCTCCCATATTTCTGAGTCAGCGGTGGGGTCCTTCTGTCTTGGTCTCCTCTCTTATTTCTGTGTCAGCGGTGGGGTCCTCCTTGGTCTCCCCCATATTTCTGTGTCAGCGGTGGGGTCCTCCTGGGTCTCCTCCCATATTTCTGTGTCAGCGGTGGGGTCCTCCTGGGTCTCCTCCCATATTTCTGTGTCAACGGTGGGGTCCTCCTGGGTCCTCCTCCCGGTGGGGTCCTCCTCCCATATTTCTGAGTCAGCGGTGGGGTCCTCCTGGGTCTCTCCCATATTTCTGTGTCAGCGGTGGGGTCCTCCTCGGTCTCCTCCCCATATTTCTGGGTCAGCGGTGGGGTCCTCCTCCCACATTTCTGTGTCAGCGGTGGGTGGGGTCTCCTCCCATATTTCTGTGTCAGCGGTGGGGTCCTCCTGGGTCTCCTCCCATATTTCTGTGTCAACGGTGGGGTCCTCCTCCCATATTTCTGATGTCAGCGGTGGGGTCCTCCTGGGTCTCCTCTCATATTTCTGTGTCAGCGGTGGGGTCCTCCTGGGTCTCCTCCCATATTTCTGTGTCAGCGGTGGGGTCCTCCTGGTCTCCTCCCATATTTCTGAGTCAGCGGTGGGGTCCTCCTGGGTCTCCCCCATATTTCTGTGTCAGCGGGGTGGGGTCTCCCTCCTGGGTCTCCCCCATATTTCTGAGTCAGCGGTGGGGTCCTCCTGGGTCTCCTCCCATATTTCTGTGTCAGCGGTGGGGTCCTCCTGGGTCTCCTCCCATATTTCTGTGTCAGCGGTGGGGTCCTCCTGGGTCTCCTCCCATATTTCTGAGTCAGCGGTGGGGTCCTCCTGGGTCTCCTCCCATATTTCTGTGTCAGCAGTGGGGTCCTCCTGGGTCTCCCCCATATTTCTGTGTCAGCGGTGGGGTCCTCCTGGGTCTCCTCCCATATTTCTGTGTCAGCGGTGGGGTCCTCCTGGGTCTCCCATATTTCTGTGTCAGCGGTGGGGTCCTCCTTGGGTCTCCTCTCATATTTCTGAGTCAGCGGTGGGGTCCTCCTGGGTCTCCTCCCATATTTCTGTGTCAGCGGTGGGGTCCTCCTGGGTCTCTCCCCATATTTCTGTGTCAGCGGTGGGGTCCTCCTGGGTCTCCCCCCATATTTCTGTGTCAGCGGTGGGGTCCTCCTGGGTGTCCTGGTCCCATATTTCTGTCAGCGGTGGGGTCCTCCTGGGTCTCCTCCCATATTTCTGTGTCAGCGGTGGGGTCCTCCTGGGTCTCCCCCATATTTCTGTGTCAGCGGTGGGGTCCTCCTGGTCTCCTCCCATATTTCTGTGTCAGCGGTGGGGTCCTCCTGGGTCTCCTCCCATATTTCTGTGTCAGCGGTGGGGTCCTCCTGGGTCTCCCCCCATATTTCTCTGTGTCAGCGGTGGGGTCCTCCTGGGTCTCCTCCCATATTTCTGTGTCAGCGGTGGGGTCCTCCTGGGTCTCCTCCCATATTTCTGTGTCAGCGGTGGGGTCCTCCTGGGTCTCCTCCCATATTTCTGTGTCAGCGGTGGGGTCCTCCTTGGTCTCCTCCCATATTTCTGTGTCAGTAGTGGGGTCCTCCTGGGTCTCCTCCCATATTTCTGTGTCAGAGAAGTGGGGTCCTCCTGGGTCTCCTCCCATATTTCTGTGTCAGAAGTGGGGTCCTCCTGGGTCTCCTCCCATATTTCTGTGTCAGCGGTGGGGTCCTCCTGGGTCTCCTCCCATATTTCTGTGTCAGCGGTGGGGTCCTCCTGGGTCTCCTCCCATATTTCTGTGTCAGCGGTGGGGTCCCTCCTGGGTCTCCTCCCATATTTCTGTGTCAGCGGTGGGGTCCTCCTGGGTCTCCTCCCATATTTCTGTGTCAGCGGTGGGGTCCTCCTGGGTCTCCTCCCATATTTCTGTGTCAGCGGTGGGGTCCTCCTGGGTCTCCCCCATATTTCTGTGTCAGCGGTGGGGTCCTCCTGGGTCTCCTCCCATATTTCTGTGTCAGCGGTGGGGTCCTCCTGGGTCTCCCCCCCATATTTCTGTGTCAGCGGTGGGGTCCTCCTGGGTCTCCCCCCATATTTCTGTGTCAGCGGTGGGGTCCTCCTGGGTCTCCTCCCATATTTCTGTGTCAGAAGTGGGGTCCTCCTGGGTCTCCTCCATATTTCTGAGTCAGCGGTGGGGTCCTCCTGGTTCTCCCCCCATATTTCTGTGTCAGCGGTGGGGTCCTCCTGGGGTCTCCCCCATATTTCTGTCAGCAGTGGGGTCCATATTTCTGTGTCAGCGGTGGGGTCCTCCTGGGTCTCCTCCCATATTTCTGTGTCAGCGGTGGGGTCCTCCTGGGTCTCCTCCCATATTTCTGTGTCAGCGGTGGGGTCCTCCTGGGTGTCTCCCCCATATTTCTGTCAGCGGTGGGTCCTCCTGGGTCTCCCCCCCATATTTCTGTGTCAGCGGTGGGGTCCTCCTGGGTCTCCTCCCATATTTCTGTGTCAGCAGTGGGGTCCTCCTGGGTCTCCCCCATATTTCTGTGTCAGCGGTGGGGTCCTCCTGGGTCTCCTCCCATATTTCTATGTCAGCAGTGGGGTCCTCCTGGGTCTCCTCCCATATTTCTGTGTCAGCAGTGGGGTCCTCCTGGGTCTCCCCCCATATTTCTGTCAGCGGTGGGGTCCCTCCTGGGTCTCCTCCCATATTTCTGTGTCAGCAGTGGGGTCCTCCTGTGGGTCTCCTCCCTCCCATATTTCTGTGTCAGCAGTGGGGTCCTCCTGGGTCTCCCCCATATTTCTGTGTCAGCAGTGGGGTCCTCCTGGGTCTCCTCCCATATTTCTATGTCAGCAGTGGGGTCCTCCTGGGTGTCCCCCCATATTTCTGTGTCAGCGGTGGGGTCCTCCTGGGTCTCCTCCCATATTTCTGTGTCAGCAGTGGGGTCCTCCTGGGTCTCCCCCATATTTCTGTGTCAGCGGTGGGGTCCTCCTGGGTCTCCTCCCATATTTCTGTGTCAGCAGTGGGGTCCTCCTGGGTCTCCTCCCATATTTCTGTGTCAGCAGTGGGGTCCTCCTGGGTCTCCCCCCATATTTCTGTGTCAGCAGTGGGGTCCTCCTGGGTCTCCTCCCATATTTCTGTGTCAGCGGTGGGGTCCTCCTGGGTCCCCCCATATTTCTGTGTCAGCGGTGGGGTCCTCCTGGGTGTCCCCCCCATATTTCTGTGTCAGCAGTGGGGTCCTCCTGGGTCTCCTCCCATATTTCTGTGTCAGCAGTGGGGTCCTCCTGGGTCTCCCCCCATATTTCTGTGTCAGCAGTGGGGTCCTCCATCAGTTGTACCCGGTACCTGAAGGTTGGCTTGGATTTGTCTGGAAGTTGATGGAGGTTCTTCAGGAACCATTCCAACAATCCTTCGTTGCAATCTTTGATCGATTTTTCTCTTTCATCATCCACATCGAAAGAAATCCTCGTTCATCTTTGATCGATTTTCTCTTTGCAGTGCCATGGGCTGGAATCTTCCTGACAATGCTGCGCACAGTGGACACGGGAACATGGAGATCTCTGGAGATGGACTTGTCACCTTGAGGTTGTTCCTGCTTTCCACCATCTTTGTTCTCCATTCCTCAGACGATTCTTTGCTCTTCTTCTCCATGTTTACCACGGAGACACCCAACAGGAAGGTGGAGGCCATTTGTCACCCCTGTCCCCTGGTTGCCGGTGCGATTTCTACGTTGTCATGGATACAGAGGGAGTCAGACGACGGGGGATGGGTCAGATTTGGCTTTTTATTTCTCCACATTTTGGTGTCACCAATACAAACCAAAGACATAAACATGAGATTACCGAAACATTCGTCATGGCAGCCATTTTCTGGGCGGAGTCCTGTTATCTGACAGGAATGCGGGGGAGGGGGTGTATTGTGACGTGTTTGGTGTCAGTCGCTCGGCATGACATCATCTTTCATCGTACAAATGGCGATTCTATCGAGTTTTCTGGAATAAAATACATCGAAGTTGACTTTGTACTGAAAATTATATTCAATAAACAATATCACGTGACATGACCACACCCACCAGTTCATTCTCCGGGGGCTCCGAAGCAGCAAATGCCGATTTTTACACGAATGAGATGGAAGTCAGACCCGCCCGGGCAGTGAGGGGTTAATCGCGGACGGTTTGGGGCGTCGCTCCGCCTCCGTTTACTACCTCGCCCCGCCCACCTCTCTCAGTCACATGGGACCGGTGGACTGTACCACCTGGCTCTCCGCCCCCCCCTCCCCACATGGAGCGTGCCATCTGGTCGGTCACGTGGTTGCCTTTGCCCGCGAAATCCGAGTTCCTGGCCACGCTGACCCAGCCAAAGCGGCCAATGGGAGCTCTGATCGCCCGGTGACGTCACTCGGCGGAGAGGTGACCCCCCCGGGACGGTGGGCGGTCTCGTCAGATCGGTGTAGTCGGTGGAGGTGATCGCAGACGGTGCTCTGGTGATGGCGCAGACTCGGGTCACTCAGTTCTTCGGGCAGCGGAAGAGGGCGGCCAATGGGCCCCTGGAGGGGAAGGGGAACAAGGGGCCCCGAACGGTGACACGGAAGCTGGAGGAGCTGCTGAGGACCCCAGAGAAACCCACCGAGACCCGGATCTCCTCCACCTCCTCACCCCGGGGACCCAGCGGAAGGAAGAGGAGCCGCCCGGACACCCCACGGACAGGAGAGAGGACTGCTAGGAAGAGGCTCCGCCTACCAGGGGGCGACCGAGAGGTATAAGTGGGCGGCTTCCGGCCATCATCGGGGCAATACCGCCCCCTTCACCATTACTGTCCCATCCCGTACTCCCACTATTACCCCCCCCCCCCCCACCATTATTGCCCCCATCCCGTCCTCGCACTGTTACTGCCCCCCTCCACCATTACTGCCCCATTCCAACCCCGCACTATTACCGCCGCCTCCACCATTACTCCCCCATCCCGTCCCCGCACTATTACTGCCCCCTCCACCATTACTCCCCCATCCCGTCCCCGCACTATTACTGCCCCCCTCCACCATTACTCCCCCATCCTGTCCCCCCATTATTACTGCCCTCCTCCACCATTACTCCCCCATCCTGTCCCCCCATTATTACTGCCCCCCTCCACCATTACTCCCCCATCCTGCCCCCCCATTATTACCGCCCCCCCTCCACCATTACTCCCCTGCACTACTACTACCCCCCTCCACCATTACTGCCCCATCCCCCCCACTACTACCACAGCCTCCCTCCACTATACTACTGCTCCCCTCCAGTAGTTCTCCCCCCCAGTACTGCCCCCCTCACCCTCCCATTATTACTATACAGGATTTATATGGCGCCAACAGTATGCACAGCGCTGTACAACATGAAGGCAGACATTGGTCAATACAGGAGGAACCAGACAGCCCTGATCCTGGGAGCTTACAATCTAAGGGGAGGGGCTGAGTGATACAAAAGGTAATAGCTGTGGGGGAGGGGCTGATGGAGGAAATAAATGGCAGTTTACTAGGCAGAGGCAGGATAGGCTTCTTTAAAGAGGTTTTCATGGATTATCTAAAGGTGGATAGATTGGGGTAGGGAGTTTTTGTGAGGGTCCAGGGGGCAGGTGGTTAGGTGGGCTTTAGAAAACAGTTGACCCACCTTCTTTATAGTAGCTGGGTTACACAAGGGAAGTATATTGTGCAGGTGGACAAGGAGGGTGGTAGGGGTGAGGGACATGTCTGGTGGACAAGGAGGGTGGTAGGGGTGAGGGACATGTCTGGTGGACAATGAGGGTGGTGGGGTGAGGGACATGTCTGGTGAGGGACAATGAGGGTGGTGGGGTGAGGGACATGTCTGGTGGACAATGAGGGTGGTGGGGTGAGGGACATGTCTGGTGGACAATGAGGGTGGTGGGGTGAGGGACATGTCTGGTGGACAATGAGGGTGGTGGGGTGAGGGACATGTCTGGTGGACAATGAGGGTGGTGGGGGTGAGGGACATGTCTGGTGGACAATGAGGGTGGTGGGGTGAGGAGGGACATGTCTGGTGGACAATGAGGGTGGTGGGGTGAGGTACATGTCTGGTGGACAAGGAGGGTGGTAGGGTGAGGGACATGTCTGGGGACAAGGATGTCTGGTGGACAAGGAGGGGGTGGTAGGGTGAGGGACATGTCTGGTGGACAAGGAGGGTGGTGGTAGGGTGAGGGACATGTCTGGTGGACAAGGAGGGTGGTAGGGTGAGGGACATGTCTGGTGGACAATGAGGGTGCTGGTGGACAGGGAATGATGTCGGGTGGTGGGGTGAGGGACATGTCTGGTGGACAATGAGGGTGGTGGGGTGAGGGACATGTCCGGTGGACAGGGAGGGTGGTGGGGTGAGGGACATGTCCGTTGGACAAGGAGTGTAGGGTGAGGGACATGTCTGTACAGTGGATATCTCGTCATGAATTGTATCAATCTTCTTTTTGAAGTGATTAGCGATCTCCGGGGCCGTGAGTTAGTGGGGGGAGGTAAAGGACGAAGTAGAGTTAAAGGCAGAAGAGAGTTGGCAGCGATTGCATGAGAGGGTGTTAATGAGATGAGGAAATAGGTCTGTTTGGCATTGTGGAGACAAGAAGTGTTTTTGAAGGGAAGATTTATGTTGGTGGAAGTCTTGCTGGGTCTTAGTCTGACTCCATAAATGCTCCAGAGCACGGCTACGTATTTTGAGGCATCTGGTATTGTCTGTTTGCCAGGGCTGTAGTGGTCGGGGTCTAATTCATTGTGCAGTGAGGGGGACAATGTGTCCCGGGTGGATGACAGTGAACTGTTGTAGACAGAAGTGGCCAGGTTGGGGCAGGACAGGGCTGAGATTTTGTCAGACAATCTGTTGCTGAAAGAAGAGAAGGGTTAAGATGGCGAAGGTTTCTACGGGTAACTCTTCGGTAGTTGGAAGCCGAGAGAGTGAAGCTAATAAGGGAGTGATCACAGAGAGGACGAGGAAAGTTGATGAGGTTGCAAGAAGTGCATAGGTAGGAGAATACAAGGTGGAGGCCGGTATCATTGGAGTGAGTAGAAGCATGCGTCCATTGTTGCAGGAGTGCTAAGGTTACCAGGGATGTTGAAGTCACCAAGAATGATTGTGGGAATTTCAGAAGAGAGAAAGTAAGGCAGCCAGGCAGAGAAGTAATCATTGATACCGGTCCAGGAGGACGATGGATCACAGCAATTAAACTGGAGAGAACAGACGACTGGAGTGAACTTCAAATGAGGAGAGGGAGGTGAATGAAGGACCTGAAAAGTGCTTTGATGGGATAGGAGGATTCCAGCTCCACCTCCTTTCTGTTCACTAGGCCTGGGAGAGTGAGTCCCAGAGGAGACCACCATGGGAGAGTCCCAGAGGAGACCACCATGGGAGAGTCCCAGAGGAGACCACCATGGGAGAGTCCCAGAGGAGACCACCATGGGAGAGTCCCAGAGGAGACCACCATGGGAGAGTCCCAGAGGAGACCACCATGGGAGAGTCCCAGAGGAGACCACCATGGGAGAGTCCCAGAGGAGACCACCATGGGAGAGTCCCAGAGGAGACCACCATGGGAGAGTCCAGCAGGAGAGGGAAAGTCCGATTCATGAAGCCAGGTTTCCGGAATTGCAAGCAAGTGAATGGAGTTTGTGATGAAAGGTCATGGACAGAGGTGAGTGTTTACAGACAGATGGGGATTCCAGAGGGTCCAGGAAAAGAGGAGGCTGGCTCTAGAAGAAGAGGAATAGTAACCAGTATCTACCCCCCCCCCCCCCCCCCCCCCAACTACTACCCCCCATGCTCCCTTCTTCCCATTGCTACTCCACAATCCCTACTACTACTCCCATCATCCCTCAATACTGGTGGGGGGGGTTCAGACCTTCTGGGGCTTCATCTCCAGACTACCTCATAAAACTGCCAGTTGTCGTTACGCTGATCTACCAGTTCCACCTGGAGCTGGAACCATCTACTTACCCATCCCCCACCCAGTCCACCTACCCACCTGTGTACCATCTCCTGTCAGCCATTTACCAAGTAATGTCGTTTTTTTTTTTTCCTTTAGACTGTCAACTCATGTGCCAAACCGGAGGAGCAGTGTGTGACCCCACCGTCACTGGGGAAGAAGATGAAGGAATTGGTGAATGTCTCCCTCTCCCCCGTCAATGTCCTGAGGAAGAACTCCGCTCTGGGCGACGTGGCGGTAATTATTGTGGAGGGCTCTGCTGGTGGAGATCACTTCTATTGCAATCATGTCTGTGGACCCCGCCCACACACAGCGCAATTAGATTTTTGTGTAGGGGCTCCCATGTGTTCATATGTGGGGGAGGGGAGTGGCTTGTAGCGTTTTTGCTACACCCCCCCCCCAAACTTTTTTTTCATCCCTCGGGGTGATGCATTTTGGTGACCGGTCCTCTGCAGTTGAGTCCATACAGCGCACAGACCTGGCAGTAGAAGGGTTAATGCTCGGCTGCGATTCCTCTGACAATGCCGCCATTTTGGTTTTCTTGCAGATGCCATCAAAGGGGAACCTGGTAGAGCTCCAATCCCGACTGCAGAGAATTCAGGAGATTTCCCAGAAACTAAAACTTCCCGCTGCACCTGCAGAGAGCAAAGTCACAATCACCGAGCTGAAGGGGAGACTCGGGCAAGCCCAGGAACTGGAATCCAAGATCAGAGAGAAGAGAGCCACCGCCAAACCCACTGCACCCGCCCAGGAGGCGACAGAGCTGAGGTATGATTGGCTCAGAACGCGGTAGTGGGTAGGAGTGATGAGAAGTTGGTTCCCGTAGAATGGATGATTGGGGTTCCAGGTCACAGACCTATATCTGAGGTGGGGGATGGGGGCCCCTTCACCTCTCCATGGTTGGGTCACTCCTGCTGGGAGCCTTTCTTCTTGCCGAGGGCCCCAGTCCAGTGTATATGGTGGGGGAAGGGAAGCTTGCTGTACCTCTGACCGCTGCGGTTGTAAGGGAAGGTTTTGCAGACCACGGTGCTATGGTCAGTCTCCGCCCCACACTTCTCCAAACCAATGACATCGGGAGGAAAGGGGGCGGAGACACAACTTGTCTGAGACCTGCAGTGCTTACAGGCGGAAAGTACAGCGAGCGTCCCTTCCCGGCATTGATGGCTGATTTGGGGGGTACAAGTGTCTGCATGGTGGGGGTCCCCCTGAGGAACCCTAATGTTTGCTGGAATCCTAGGAAAAGGTGATCTGAGGCTCCGCCTATCACATGCATGGTGGCGGTTCGTGCCGATCCTCATGTCATGGCCTCTGGACTGGAACCTTCAGATCAGTTCTGCTCGGTTGGGTCATTAATTGTATGAATAGAGCGCAGGTAAGGGGTCCCCTGTAATTGGGTCATAAAGGGCCCCTGGAAAGTAATCGGCCTTCCTTGGCACCGCATGCTGCCATTGCTGCCGGGTGTGAAGAGAAGATTTGGTGGAAGTTTTGTCCCTTTAGTGGATGCGGACTCTCCCCTCCCCCGATACTATCCCATACCTGGAAGTACCCCCCTCCTATGGTGTCAGTGATGATGGAAGGGGGGTGGTGGGGCTTCCATTTCATGTACAGCGGTTTTGCCCTCGTGTAGCTTTTTGTGAAATGGAAAGTCCTTATGAGGAACTGTCCTGGCAGATACAATGGACACATCCTGAAGACCCTTCACAGGGAATGGCTGGTGGGGGGGATGCAGATACTGGATATAAATGGCAGTCATTGGGTCTCCTTCTGACCACTTCACACTTACAGACCTTTTTCCCTTCCAGCGTGAAGGCGCCGGCCTATCAGCGCTTCCACACTCTCGCCCAGGATGTCCCGCCTGGACTGTCGCTGCCGTTCCGGTATAAAGTTCTGTCGGAGATGTTCCGTAGTATGGACACCATTGTGGGCATGCTCTTCAACCGCTCCGAGACCGTCACCTTCTCCAAGGTCAAGCAAGGGGTCCAAGATATGATGCGGAAGTAAGTGGGGGAAGGGGGAGTCTCACTCAATTCTTCCATCATTGGACGCTGTATATTCTGATCTATAATGTTCGGTCTATTCAGGCAATTCGAGGAGCGCAATGTGGGGCAGATAAAGACTGTCTATCCAACAGCCTACAGGTTCAGGCAGGAGAAGAACATCCCAACCTTCAAGGATGGCATGAAGAAGACAGACTACCAGCTTACTGTGGATCCCACCATTCCTGAGGGTAAGTCTGGGGGGAGGGGAGAACTATCTTCTGGGGGACTTCTTTACTTCTCAGACTGCATCTTACATGGTACTAAACCAGCTACAACCCCATCCCCCGCACCATGTCAGCTTGTCAATGCCTAGACTTGGGGGTGAGGGACCCCCAACCCACACACTATGGAAACGGGGGGGGGGGGGGGGGGGGGACAGGTACCTGGTTTTATTGGGTATCTGCTCCTACTTTTGCTCAAGTGACCTAAGCAGAGGATATTTTTTGCCCCCGTCCACCACCACCCTTCTTGCCCTCGGCCTTCTGGGACGTCACATGACAGTGTAAGCGGCTGTCAGGATATGAACCATTTCGGCATAAGCTGAGGCTTCCCTTTCCGAGTGGCAGCAGCCGGTTGGCTGGACTTGGCTGGATCAGAGCTTTCCATCTGTTATATCAAATATTCTGCTTTGGGTTTCAGGTAGGGGGCAGCACAGTAGCTGAGTGGTTAGCTCTTCCGTCTGGCAGTACTCTGTCGTTGGTTTGTTTCCCAATCACGGCACCTCCTGCCTGGAACATGTTCTCCCTGTACCTGAGTGGGTTTTCTCCAAGTACTCTGGTTTCCTCCCCCACACTCCAAAAGACATGCTGGAGGTGTATTGGCTCCTGTCTGCATTGTCCATAGTATGTGCATGAATGTGAGTTAGGGACCTTAGATTGTACGCCCCTCGGGGGCGGGGACTGATGGGCATGTTCCATTTTATGACGCGCTGTGTACACTGACAGCCCTATATAAGTACCTGAAATAAATGGGTTTCAATTGTTCAATTTTTTGATTTTCCAGATGACCAGTTGGATGGACGTCCTCAGCTGACAGCAAGCCGCCTATTGGAGCGCAGGCGGATCTTTCATAGGAGCCTAACCACCCTTGTGAAGCAGCACCACAAAGTGCGTCTGCCGAGTCCAGCCTGTCTACTCGCTAGATTTCCCAAATCCCTCTCGTTCTGACACTGGACTGCATGTCCTTCACCTTTTTTTCAGGCTTTCTGGCAACCTTGAATCCTCCATTGGTGGTTCCTGATGACCAGCTGACTCGTTGGCACCCCCGATTTAATGTTGATGAGGTTCCCGACGTGGTCCCGGCAGAACTGCCACAGCCCCCACAAGTGGAGAGGCTGACTACAGCTCAGGAAGTGTTGACTAAAGCGAGGGGCATGATGACGCCTAAGGTGAGTCGGGGGTTTCGGCGTTTCATGAATGTATAACCACTTGATGGTATTTAGTGTTCGAGATTTGTGGGAAACCAAATTCAAATGTGCTCCGTGTGGGTGACAACCTCTTGTCTCCTGCATTATAAATGCCACCCCATTATGCCGCACATCTGCCCTATCCTCCTCCTCCTGGTCCAGCCATGGCTGAAACCAGTCATTCCGGAGACTCTTGGCATGGTTGTGATCTGTTGTCACCTATTCCGGCCTCGGCACAAGACCTGGATTTTGTGTCCGACAATTATCTGCTTCATGTTTTATCCATTTCATTCCTTACAGATGGAGAAGGCTCTAGCTAACCTGGCCCTGAAGAGTGTGGAGAGCGCCCCCTCTGAGCAGAAACGGCCCCCCCGCAGAGGAGCCGCCACCGGTCACTTCAAGTGCTCTGAAAGGCGTTTCCCAGTCTCTCTTGGAGCGGGTAAGTAACTTGTCTGCTACGGAGCTTTTCCTACAGGATTGTTGTAGCCGTGAATATTGCTGGAACGCCTGACCATGTTATCCCCTTCTTATACAGTGCACCCCCCCCTTCTGTACCATGCACTTTCACCCCCCCCTTCTATACCGTGCACACCCCCCCCTTCTGTACCACGCACGTTCACCCCCCCCCCTCTATACCGTGCACGTTCACCTGAGGTATGTATTAAGAGGCATGGTGAGTTGTGTGGGTGATGAAGCAACCATTTATGAAATCCATTCATTGTGTACTATTGTGATTGGCCCTGTCTGTACCATGTGATCACTGACAAGTCAGACCAACAAAATGGCTGAGAGTGGAAGCTGTTCGTCGTTGTGTACTATTGTCATGTGATCTGCTGCGATTGGTCAAAAATTTTACCTGACAGCAGCCGGTGATCTGTCATCAGCTATGTCTGGTGGACACAGCGGGTGATGGGTTGCGGTGCCCAATCCTGGGAGGATGTCATATGATGTCCGCCCACAAAGGGCCCAATCCTGCTCGTCATTTGTCTGTAGGCCAGATAGGAGGTTAAGTACTGGAGGAAATTACTTTGGGAACAAGATCTATACTGCAGATCATTTTTTACTTTGCAGAATCGGAGTGAAAACCGAGCAGCTTCTAAGTCTCGGTCTAGGTGCCACTAACATTAAACTCGTGACCGAAGGACTAGCCAATCTAAAACCGCGATGTCACGTGCAAAACAATGCCACGTCCAGCTACACCCTGCAAAACGATTTTCCAGCTAATGGACCACAATTGATGTACTGGTAGTCTGAGCGCAATTGTTACTCGGTCAGGTTAATTACGCAACTAACCCTTCACACTATGCCACCACCTCCTTTTTGTACAGAGGAAACTTGGCAATATCAGCAATAACCCTATGATTGTTGAAATAATCGTCTGTATACCACTGTCACCGCAGGCAGGTTATACAGAGGGTTAAACACACAGTAGTGCTCTTAAGCTGCAGGAATTCGTAGTTTGCATTAAAGGCATTAGAAACAGTTCAGCACTTTCAGAAAGTAAGATTTATTACTAAAGGGTGCAATAAAAAATATTTACAGAAAAAGATGTAGCGTGTGTGTGTGTGTGTGTGTGTGTGTGTGTGTGTGTGTATATATATATATATATATATATATATATATATATATATATATGTGTGTGTGTGTTTTCAGGAGTTTAGAGGGTTTAAAGTACTTGCCAGTCAGCCTTGGCGTGAGCAGCTTCAAGTTTCAGAAGTCAAAAGGATTTCTTGTCTGTCAGTTTCGATTGTTAAAAACAGGAGACTCTTTCTCTCACACACCAAGCATAACAGCCTTTTTCTAGGATCTCAGGCCTTTTTCTAGGGATCTGGGGCGGGGGCAGGGTGTCTCCTTGGAGCAGTAAACCACTTCTCCTTTTGGGGGAGGGAAGTGTAGGGAGACTTAAGTTATGACCAGAAACTCTTGTAGCTTCTATTTTGGCCCATAACCTTTTCTCGGGGCATTTGGCAGCCTGGCCACTAGTATATTAATACTCAGCCGCATCTGCAGAATAGTTAGAGATGAAACATGAAATATCTACTTAGAAAACAGAAAATGGTTCCCGAACCATTCAAGTGAATGGTTCGGGAGATATAATTTTCTGCTTTTCTATATATGCCAGCTAAAGGGTGTATCCTATCAGGAGAATGGTCTCAAATTGAGCTGTCCGAATATAGGCTCCATGTTTAGGTAATTATGTCCCACGTGAAGATATCAACTTATAAAAAAAAAGTGAGTTTTTAAAAGTGTCTGTTTTTACGACCCCCTTGGAAGGTCTTTTGATGTTCAGTGAGGGACTTTGTTTACACTCTTACGATATCCCAGATTGCACAGCGAACAGACAGCTAGGCATCTAGCTGGTGAGGTTTTATAGCCAGGACGCCCTCCCACTGGGTTTCGATGCCTTTTTGAACTCTGCATCAAATAGGCCACATGTCACTCAACAGGAGGGAGGGGGATGAGGAAAGAGGGAAAGAGAGCGCTATATGATTGTACAAGATGGACGGTCCTTTGCCAAAATGAAGGTTCGTATCTGTCTCTGTGCACAATTGCTACACCCGGTGATGGGTTTTGAGTGGGAGGAGGTTCAGTTCTTACTCTGATCTTTTCAGATTCGGGCTAAAGAGGCTCAGAAGCTTCAAGCCATGATGACCCGTAAGCCCCAGCAAGAAGAGCGGCTACTCATGATGTCCAGGCTGCCAGAATTGGGACGAATCCTTCGTAATGTGTTTGTGGCAGAGAAGAAACCAGCTTTGACTGTGGAAGTTGTGTGCAGCAGAGTCATTTCCAGTTATCGATCTTCCATGTCTCTAGGTGAGACCGAATTCCAAGTATTGTAAATGCGGCCATACAGGAATGTATTCTAAGATTCCTCCAGCCTCACCAAGGGTGCAGCTGAAGGAACCTCCTACTGTAGGCCATTGAATTCTCAGCGCTGCTAATGACATAGTTGATACCTGGAAAGGTGTGCCTACTGGTGCACAGGGTGAGTCAGGTTGGTAGCCTTGAGGAAGAATAGGCACCAGCGGAGCAATGGAGGAGAGCAGGGTGTGTGAGCTTGGAGGGGAGGGGGAAGCAATGAAAGGGAGGGGAGAGGGAAGCAGTGGAGAGAGGGGGGGGAAGCAGTGGAGAGGGGGGGGGGGGTGTGAGCTTGGAGGGGGGAGGGAAGCAGTGGAGAGCGGGGGGGTGTGAGCTTGGAGGGGGGGGGAAGCAGTGGAGAGCGGGGGGGTGAGTGAGCTTGGAGGGGGGGGGGGGAAGCAGTAGTGGAGAGCGGGGGGGTGTGAGCTTGGAGGGGGGAGGGAAGCAGTGGAGGAGAGCGGGGGGGTGTGAGCTTGGAGGGGGGAGGGAAGCAGTGGAGGAGAGCGGGGGGGTGTGAGCTTGGAGGGGGAGGGAAGCAGTGGAGGAGAGCAGGGTGTCCAAGATTGCATAATTATTCTCCCCACCCCTATCAAATTGTGGTTTACTTTTTTTAAAAAAGGTGGACTTGGCCTTTAGTCTGGACTGGGTCAGCAGATGGTGACATTTTTGGTTCTCCATGTGACTGGCCTGGGTGTTGTATTTAGACCTTTATTGTATAGTTGAGTCCACTTTTGTTTTCTGCAGTCTTCTGATTCCTCTAACATTCTCTCTGCAGGGGAGATGGAGAAGCATCTGTCACTGATGGTGGAGCTCCTACCAGACTGGCTCTCCATTCATCCAATCAGGAAGGACACTTACTACAAGCTGAACAAGACAATGGACTTGAATGTAATACTGGAGAGACTTTCTAAGAAGCTGAAGGAAGAGGAGTCTCAGTAACGATCCTTCTAATCATGGATTTCACTTGTTTACATTGGGACTTGGTGTTTTATAGACTAGTGTGCAATCATGGACCTGAGATGGTGGATCCATGTGGATGGAGACTGTGTGTTCTTCAGGTTCCTGTTTTTAGATTCTGGCTGACGATGGTCCACCCTACCTCCTGCAACGGCTTTGGGGACAAAAACATGAATTTCTGGGCTGCCAAGGTGAGCAGCCGAACATTTTGGGCTCCGGGAGAAGATGGCTGAATTGATTGGACGTCTCTTCTGAGAGGGACTATATTCCAGAGTGGAGGTTCCATTTACAAATCTGACTAGCCCCATCTCCCTGTGCCCATTCCTCCCCCCCCCCCCCCCTCCCCCCCCCCCCCCCCCCCCCCCCCCCCCCAAATATTTTTTTTCCCAAATACAAAATGTGAATTGCCACAAGTGAACCTGAGGTTCCTTCAGGTCAATGTCCGGACCCATTGTAGCAGGAGGTCAGCGACAGCCAGGCAGTTGGCTTTTTGTAAGAACATGGAGCGATTGCAGCCCCTTTCTCTCAGAAATGCTGCTTTTTGGGTTTTTAGCTTGTTTGGAGATTTGGTGTGCAGCGGCATTTTTATTTGAATGTTAATATCTGGAGGGGGTGATTTCTTTTTATTTGGTAAAAAGCAAATGTTTCCAGTTTTGGATTAAAATAATTTGCATTACATTGGAGTCTATTTGCTTTCATTGTGACATCACAAGGTCCAAAATGGGGGCGGGGAGAATCATACCATGGGACTGCTTTAGGAGACCATCCATCTCCTGCATGACAGTTCTGCACCAAGCATTTCCTCATCGAATTCTGCGGAGCTTTGCCATTGGCCTGAATAGTGCAGACATGCGTGACACACGGCTGCATGTGAGCATTCCCTGCACAGGACCTGGGCTCATGTACCAGTAGGATGGAGCAGAGTGATCGATTGGCTCATCAGTCCGCTGCTAATCCGGTAACAGAACTAATGGCCCTTCCAGGTCTAGTCTATCGCCCTGTGACAAGGCTGTGCAAATCCTCCAACTGGATGGACAAAAATACAAATCATTTGACAGGTGAAACTGTTTTGTGTATTTTTTTGAGAAATCACTTAAAGCGGAGCTCCACCCAAAAGGAAAGTTCTGCTTTAAGGATTGGCACCTTTTGGGGGGGGGGGGGGAGCAGGTACCTGTATTTGATAGGTACCTGCTCCCACTTCTGATTGGAAGCGGAAGGTGTCTGCCCCCCTCTCTGTAGTTTTGTGGGACACGTGACAGGTCCCAGAAGGCTAGGGGGCCATTCAGGAAGTGCAGCGCTTGTGAAAATGCCGACGCCTGGAATACAGGACGGCTGGTGAAACGGGCTGCGGGGGACACACCATGGGATCGAGGGACAGGTAAGTGGCTGTTTTTAAAGTCAGCAGAAACTGTTTTTGTAGCTTATTTTTTTTTTTTGACAGTGTGAGTGGAACTTTAAGTGGTTTTATGTCCAGCTTGTGTAACGGCAGATTAATGTTTGTTTAGACAGGATTTATATAGCGCCAATACAATTTTGGTACAAGAGGAAACGGTCCTGATCCTGGGAGCTTACAATCTACATTCATCTTTGCAGGAGGGTGTGCTTAGCTGAAAGCCCCTCCCAGGAAGACTCCTGTGATGTATGACCTTTCATTCACTGATTGGGGGGGGGGGTACAGTCACTGATGGTGCTGCATTGCCTGAGTGCTGTGTTGGAGTGTGAAGAAGCAGTTAAACACAGCAGACTAATTATGCCTTCTCTGCTTTTCACAGGTAAATGCTCCATCTCCACTCTTACTAGAACAGCGCATTGACTCCTGTTAAATTCAGAACAAATGGTGTATTTATATTTGTGTATGTTGACCAGTCCTCACCTCCAGCTGCACCCGTTTATGACTGTAGTCTGTTTCTGGTCTCCTTGAGAAACATCCCCCCCCCCCCCCCCCCCCCATTCATGTGATCCTTATCAGTTCCTAATTGGGGCGGAGAAGAGCGCTCATTTGACCATATCCCTATAAATTTAGACCAGCTTATGGGGGGAGATCACTGATGGGGGGGGATCACTGATGGGGGGGGGGGGGGGGGGGGGGTGATGTGCGCATGCTTTACAGGGGAAGGGAAGGCACTGTTAGAGAGGGAAAGATTGAAGATGTGAGTGAGGGAGCATAGGATGGAAGAAGAGGCTGACTGTAGTAGTTGTGAGGGGACAGGATCCAGGGGGCAGGTAGTGAGACGGGCTTCTGAGAAAACCTTAGTGACCTCTTCAGTAGTAGAAGGTCAGAAGAGGAAAGTGTTGGAGGATAAGTATGAGGAATGCTAAGTGGGATGGATGTCTGTGCAGAGAAGAGGCCCCTATGAATTGCATCAATCTTGTTTTTGAAAGGATTTGCAATCTCATGAGCAGTGAGTGAGGTGCTGGGTGGAGGTGGAGAAAGTAGAGAAGAGACGACGAGGACTGGATGAGAAGGTGCAGCATGGAGGGAGGAATTGTATGTGAAGAAAGCAGATTTATATCGGGGTGAATGCTTGCTGGGATTTGGTTTTACACCACAATCGCTCCAGCGCACGACTATGTCTCCTAAGATGTCCGGTCCCTGGTGGTCAGTCTGCCACGGTTGTCATGGTTGATGGGCCTGATGCTTCGTGTTGTTAGAGGAGCAAGTGAGTCCAGTGTGGGTGATAGTGAACTGTTGTAGACAGCAGTGGCCAGGTCAGGGCAGGACAGGGGAGAGATTCTGTCATAGAGTTGGTCAGTTGCAGAGTGGAAAGGAGCCGGGTTCAAGTTGTGAAGGTTTCTGCGGGTAATTGTTGGCTGCTTGGAGGGATAGGTGTTTGAAGACGAGGAGACTGTGAAGGTGATGAGATTGTGATCAGAGAGAGGAAAGGGGGTGTTTGTGAGGTTGTAGGGAGTGCAAAGATGGGAGAAAACAAGGTCTAATGTATTCCCATCCTATGAGAAAGGTAGCAGGGGCATCTCATGGGGCCCCCTACTGACCCCAGGTCCTTGGGCAGTGCCCGAGTTTCCAAATGGTCAATCCGCCCCTGATAAAAGCCATTTTTAACTCCGCCCCAAATTACATCACCAATCTTGTCTCTAAATATCACCCAAACTGTCCTCTCCTCATAAGACCTCCTGCTTTCTAGCTCCCCTGTCTCCTCCTCCCATGCTTGTCTCCAGGACTTCTTCAGAGTTTCCCACATCCTCTGAAAACTCTCTACCCCAATTTATCAGACTAGCACCTACTCTGCTCACTTTTAGGCGATCTTTGAAAACCGATCCTGCCCTCAGCTAATAATGGAATCTTCTACTCCTCCTACCAGTCCATCCCCCACAGTTACTACCTTTTGTACCACTAGCCCCTCCTAGATTGTAAGCTCCCAGGATCAGCCCCTCCTTTCACTCTTGTATTGTTGCTGTATTGTCTCCCGTTATTTTGTAAAGCGCTGAGCAAACTGTTGGCGCCATAAATCCTGTATAATATCATCATTTGCCTAGGCATGGAAACCAGGAAGTAACTGAAGAAATGTAAAAAAAACAAACTTTAAGCCAATAAATCTGAAACTTTCCAATTTTACTGATTCTGGCAATATAAGGATTAAAAATGTTGACTGAGGGAAGTTCAGCTTCAATTTACCAAAAAATGTGATGGTGGAGTTGTGTCCCGCCATTGTGTGCCCACATAGCTGACTCCACCCCCTCCCTCTGATTGGATGAAACTGCTGTTCAGAGTACTATTATTCCAATGGCGGGGGAGGGGCTGGTGTGGCCTCAGAATGAGAGAATTCACCTGAAACCAGCCAGTTCCATTGTGCTGTCCAGGAGAGGGGGCGGGGTTACCGAGCGAATGACGCTGCGCCCCTCCCCCAATACCTCTGACACTGCGCCCCCCTCCCCCCAATACCTCTGACACTGCGCCCCCTCCCCCCAATACCTCTGATACTGCACCCCTCAATACCGCTGCCACTGGGCCCCTCCCCACTATACCTCTGACACTGCGCCCCCTCCCCCCAATACCTGTGACACTGGGCCCCTCCCCCCACTACCTCTGACACTGCGCCCCCTCCCCCCCCCACTACCTCTGACACTGCGCCCCCTCCCCCCACTACCTCTGACACTGCGCCCCTCCCCCCCACTACCTCTGACACTGGGCCCCTCCCCCCACTACCTCTGACACTGCACCCCCTCCCCCCACTATACCTCTGACACTGCGCCCCCTCCCCACTATACCTCTGACACTGCGCCCCATCCCCCCACTACCTCTGACACTGCGCCCCCTCCCCCCACTACCTCTGACACTGCGCCCCCTCCCCCCACTACCTCTGACACTGCGCCCCCTCCCCCCACTACCTCTGATACTGCACCCCTCAATACCCGCTGCCACTGGGCCCCTCCCCCAATACCTCTGACACTGCCCCTCCCCCAATACCTCTGACACTGTCCCCCCCCCCCAATACCTCTGACACTGGGCCCCTCCCCCAATACCTCTGACACTGCGCCCCATCCCCCCACTACCTCTGACACTGCGCCCCATCCCCCCACTACCTCTGACACTGCCCCCATCCCCCCATACCTCTGACACTGCCCCTCCCCACTATACCTCTGACACTGCACCCTGCGAATAATAATATTACACCGGGAACCCCCCCTGTATCCTCTCTTCTATCTACTGATAGAACCTCCCCCTAACAGTGCCCCGCCCACTACACCCCCGACCCCACCCCCTATCTTCATCATACCAGAACTAGTAATTTGCCTCCCGGAGCTCCACTCCTCCATTTTTGAAAACAAACTAATATAACAAAGTGGAGGTCACATGTTTCCTGTCAAAAGTGGAGCTCCAATCTGCAGCCCGACCCTCGTCTCCGGCTACGCCCCGCCTATTTCCGGTTTCCGCGCTGACATCACCTCCGGTCCTTCTAGTGGACGGGACGCCACGTGACAACCATGAACGATGAGGAGAGGCAGGCGGTGCTGTACCGATCGGTGCGAGAATTCCCCGACTACCCCTCCCCCGGGGTCACCTTCCGGTGAGGCGAGTCAGAGATCCCCATCCCCCGCAGGTCAGAGAGCCCTCCCCCCAGCATCAGCAGCCCCTCCCAGCATCAGGAGCCCCCCCTCCCCCCGTATCAGGCGCTTCCCCCGTATCAGGAGCCCCCCCTTTTGCCAGAGACCCCCAGTATCATGAGGAGCCCCCCCATGTCAGAGGAGCCTCCCAGTATCAGGAGCCCCCCCAGTATCAGGAGCCCCCCCATGTCAGAGGAGCCCCCTCCCCCAGTATCAGGACCCCCCCCCCTTGATGGGATTGGCCGGTAATGCAGTTCCTGTCCTCTGCAGAGACATCACTCCGATCCTGAAGGACCCCGAGGCTCTGCGCTCCGCCATCGATCTGTTTGAGAGCCACTTACAGAGGAACTTCCCCCAGGTGGATGTGATCGCCGGTAAGAGAGCCGACTGGGTATTGGCTGAACACAGAATGTGGGAGGAGCTTTGACCCTCCCAATTACACCCAATTGGTTAGAGCACCAACCTGCAGCCTTTGGGTCCTTTTTGTGTGGCCCTCGGGGCCCCTGCAGACACTAGACTGTGTTCCCTACTGCCCTGTTATAGCCGTGATTTCTATCCCTCTCATGTAATCTGTTTCCGGTCTGCAACGCCTACAACGCGCGTGCCGCCTCTGACCGCGCTCCTCCAACGCCTCTGACCGCGTCCTACAACGCGCGTGCCGCCTCTGACCGCGTCCTACAACGCGCGTGCCGCCTCTGACCGCGTCCTACAACGCGCGTGCCGCGTCCTACAACGCGCGTGCCGCGTCCTACAACGCGCGTGCCGCGTCCTACAACGCGCGTCTGCCGCGTCCTACAACGCGCGTGCGGCCGCGTCCTACAACGCGCGTGCCGCCTCCGACCCTCTCCTCTACCGCAGCCTCCGACCCTCTCCTCTACCGCGCGGCTGCAGCCTCTCATTTAGATGACGATGGTGGGTTTGTAGTGGGCGGAGTCTGAGGACGTCACCTCGTTTTCCTCCAGGTCTGGACTCTCGTGGTTTCCTGTTCGGTCCGGTCTTGGCACAGAGACTGGGAATTGGCTTCGTATTGATTCGGGAAAAAGGGAAAACTTCCTGGACCCACCGAGTCCGTGTCCTACACCCTGGAGTATGGAAAGGTGTGTATCAGTGTGGAATGGAGCGCCCCCTATAGGTGCTGCTTAGAAGGCAAATTCTGGAAACAACATGATACAACTGATGATCAGATGGAGTTTTTACCTTCTTATTGTGTTTAATGTTTAATTACACCTTACCCCCCTCATCCCCTCCCCTCCCCCCCAACTTGTATGAATCTGAGATGGAAGAGTCACACTGGGAGGTAACCAATCAGAAATCTGTACCTATATATGTTCAGATAAAAGACTTTCACAGAGACATGTTTCGGGGGCCAGGAATTGATCCCTTCATCACGGGTATAAAAATACAGCCTGAAAGTTGTATGAATACATCTTATATATCCTATCATAGACGTGGAAAATGTGGAAAAGTCCCCATCCCTTCCCCCATCACCCATCCCCCCTTCCCCCATCACCCATCCCCCCTTCCCCCATCCCCCCTTCCCCCATCCTGGGCTGTACAGACAGAGTCCCGTATCCTGTATGTGACAGTAATATATCGGCATTTCATGAGATGTATCTACAATTTACAGGTAGGAATGTCTTTGTATCATTAGACTGTCGCAGAGCCGAAAACAATTGTCCTTCATCAGTCGTCTTTAACCCCTTCCCACCTGGCCTATTGTAATATGACGTCCTCCCGGGACCGCGCCTTATATCGAAATACATTGATATCTGAAAGTTGAACTCTTCCGTCTCCGATTCATTCAGCTACAAACTGAGGAAACTGCAGAGTTTATGGCCAACTACTCTGATATCAGTAGATGACCAAACCCCCCCCCCCCCCCCCCCAGGGGGTCCAGCACTGCCCTTCCCTTTAGTACTATACAGGATTTATGGCGCCAACAGTTTGCTCAGCGCTGTACAATATAACGGGAGACAATACAGAACAATACAAGAGGGTGAGGAGGCCCTGATCCTGGGAGCTGACAATCTGCAAACCTCCCACTCTGCAGTCAGCTCATCGGATGATCTGTACTAAAATCTCTACAGTATATACTTTGTGTATACAGAATATATATATCTCACCTGGTAGTGTATATCATGTGTATGGGATCCCCGCGGTGGATTGGACAGATTGGTGTGTAGTCTGATCTCTCTTGCTGTTCTCTTTCTATGAATGAAATGTGGTGCTTTGTGTTTGCGGCTCGCCATCCGCTGGCTGGAAGTGCTACATTTAAAATATTTGATTTTACTTTTCATATTTCTGCATTTTTTATTTTGTCTGCTGTTATAAACACAAAATCTTCCCTGAGCCTGCGATGGTTTGCCACAATAAATTGTTCGATCTTTCTTCAGGCAGAGATTGAAATTCAGTCGGATGCTGTGGATCCGGGACAGAAAGTTGTCATCATTGATGATCTGCTGGCTACAGGAGGTACGGAACTTGCTCTGAGCTCTACTGATCATGTGCTGGATGGGGAGTGCAGGCGGGGACGGGGTGCCTGGGGAGTGCAGGCGGGGACGGGGTGCCTGGGGAGTGCAGGCGGGGACGGGGTGCCTGGGGAGTGCAGGCGGGGACGGGGGTGCCTGGGGAGTGCAGGCGGGGACGGGGTGCTGGGGAGTGCTGGCAGAGAGTGCTGGATGGGGAGTGCAGGCGGGAGAGGCTGGATGATGGGGTGGGAACGGGAACGGGCTGGATGAGGGGTGCAGGCGGGAACGGACTGGATGAGGGGGCGCAGGCGTAGAGTGCTGGATGAGGGGTGCAGGCGGGAACGGGCTGGCTGAGGGGCGCAGGCGTAGAGTGCTGGATGAGGGGTGCAGGCGGGAACGGGCTGGCTGAGGGGCGCAGGCGTAGAGTGCTGGATGAGGGGTGCAGGCGGGGGGGAACGGGCTGGCTGAGGGGCGCAGGCGTAGAGTGCTGGATGAGGGGTGGCAGGGCTGGGGCAGGGAACGGGCTGGATGAGGGGTGCAGGCGGGAGCGGGCTGGCTGAGGGGGGCGCAGGGACGGAGCGGGCTGGCTGAGGGGCGCAGGGACGGAGCGGGCTGGCTGAGGGGCGCAGGGAAGGGGCGGGGCGCAGGGGTGGGGTGGCTGAGGGGCGCAGGGACGGAGCGGGGTGGCTGAGGGGCGCAGGGACGGTGTATGTGAATCTGAACGTTCTCCCGGCTGCTCTGAGATGTTTGAAGTGGAAAGCTGTTATAAAAGCATTAGGCTACACCTGGGCCATCACTGCCATTCTAAGGACAGTAAGTAAAATAGCGCCATGTCAGGTGACTGTTGGCGGCGACTGGGGGAAGGGCTTGATTTCAGAATTTTTTTTGTTGTTAAGGTTTTTGTTTCAGTGAGTAGTTTGTAGTTTTGTATAGGTACATGAAGGTACCCCCCCCCCCCATCCTCTTCCCCCGCACTCCTCCCTTCTTCCAAGTCCTTTCAGTGCTGTGATCTGTGAATGGAGGAATCCTGTCCATATTCTGACTCTCTTCCATTCACGGATCCCCCCGGAAGTTCAGGACTGGAAGAACAATGGAGATTCCCCGGAATCCAGCAGGTGCACAGTGTGGACATAAGGCCTCCATGTCCCTGAAGCTGTACGGCTCATTTGTGCCTCCTCTCCCCTTCGATGACGAATAATGTGAATGACTGAAAACATTTAATTCTTTGCAGGAACCATGAAAGCCGCATGTGACCTCCTGCAACGGAAACACGCCGAGATCCTGAGCTGTTTGGTGCTGATTGAGCTGAAATCCTTGAGAGGCGCAGAGAAGCTCCAACCACACCGAGTCCACTCCCTGATCCAGTATGACTGAGGAGGGACTGCTGGGGGTCCCGGAACTACGAGGACCTGACCGCCTCATACACGGCTGGGTATATGATGGAAGCCGGAAATGGGAACTTCAGTATTACTGATTCTTATGCGTGAAAATAATCTGAAGGGAAATGATGACGATGCATCGGGATATCTCTGCCACCATCCCCCGCATGTATGGCAAGGCAAATATCGAGACGGAGGGATCTGGTTCCCGTGGCAAGCGGTCTGTGGTCTCTTCAGCTGTGAGCGATCTTTTGTACGACGGCTCAAAGTCAGCTGATGCAACAGATTTGAACTTTACATATCCCACTACAAACCATGCCTATGGCAACCCCTCCCCCATTCATTCCTTCTCCTGCACCACCTTGTCCACCCTCCACTCCCTAGAAGTCCCAGTTATTGTGGGCGGAGCTGTCTCGGAGTTAAAGGTTTCCTCCACATCCCCATGTGATGGAGATTGCCTGCTTAAGTCCCCAGTGCTGCGTTGAGAGTCATGGCTGCTAGACATGCGGCAAATCTCGCTTTGACAATCTATTGGAGTCAATTAAATCACCATTTACTCTCCTTTCCTTCTCCATACGCTGTTCATGTGTCGGGCCTAAAACCCTCCGAGTTGTTCCAGTCTCCACCCCCATGTGACCGCAAGGGCCAATCCCCAGTGTTATGAAAAAGGTGAATGAGTTGCATGCTCCCTGGGCCCTGGAAGGACCCCGGCGTCTCCCTGGGCCCTGGAAGGACCCCGGCGTCTCCCTGGGCCCTGGAAGGACCCCGGCGTCTCCCTGGGCCCTGGAAGGACCCCGGCGTCTCCCTGGGCCCTGGAAGGACCCCGGCGTCTCCCTGGGCCCTGGAAGGACCCCGGCGTCTCCCTGGGCCCTGGAAGGACCCCGGCGTCTCCCTTGGGCCCTGGAAGGACAGGTGTGACCAGTGGTGAGAGAAGGAAAGGTGAGTCGAGTATCTGCTGCCTGGGAGGGGCCCAAGAAGAATGTATCAGGTGCTGACCTCTGGCTCTCTTCCTTGTAAACATCGGCCTATTAATACAGTCGAATTTTGGGATGACCTGAACTATTCTTGAAACTGTCCCCTCCCCCTCCTAACACCTCTGCTGACTAACCTGTGTATGAAAGATAAACTCGCCTGTCTTCAGGCACCTCTGGTCTGGTTACATGATCCTCTGTGTCAGCCAACAGTGGCTGCAGGGGAGAGGAGGGAGCGCCAACAATGGCTGAGAATCACCTGTTGGCTCCTGTAGCCAATCTGGTGTCAGTGCTCCCTCCTCTCCCCTGCAGCTGCTGCTGACTGATACAGGGAAACCGGCTCCCATGAGTGGAGCGACCTGAAAATAGGTAAGTATACACATCTACCTGGCACAGGTTAGTCGGCATGGGTGTGATGAGGGGGAGGGGACAAGCTTAGGCTGGGATGAAGGTCACCTGAGCATTGCAGACTCCACCAGGAAATGCCCGATATGTACTATAAAATGATCGAACGTCTGCAGGAATCGTTCAAATTCAATCTGTGTGGCAGTTCCCATTTAACAGATCTCTGAATACAAGGCTTCCTCTGATTGGCAGGTGGGTGACATCACAACCTCCACTTCAGCCAATCAGAGGAGGTCTTGTATTTAGTCATAAAATGTGAAGCTTCTTGTGAATGGCTGAGCCTGCAGAGGGAATCCCCATCCCGCTGCCACACCACGGCGCCATGTATTGTACGGAGCCGAAGCTGCAGGTCCTGATGAAGGAAATCGTTTGGACCAAACAAACTACAACTTGGAGATCTGATTCCAGCCAAAAGCCGTGAACTAGATTTGTACTCAAATAATTGCAGCCAGGCAGACAGTATTTTTGGGCAATCAGTACAGGTAACCGGCACCGTTCAGTAATTGGAGCTCACAATACACGGCTCAGAAGTGCTGCTACCGACTCGTCTCCGGGTCTGGGGACCGTTTTATGTTCATTCTGTTCTGGGAAATCCTCACTTCTGTGCATTACATCCCAAATCCCGCATTCTATGAAGTGTCAACCAATCATGCGAGCTATTGTATGAGCCTGTCCAGAGCAGGCGGCCAATCAATGGAGGAATGGAGCGCCTCCCGCAGGGCGGTGTGAGCCTTACACTGGCTGGAGAAGATTCAACTTTGTTCTCTATTACTTGAAGTTTTCTTATTGTATCCAATGATGTCCATGAATGTAAGACTGGAGACAATAAATCCTTCATCGATATTTGTGGCTCCATCATCCAGAATCCATAGGAACCATTTCAGAACTAACGGGACCATTTCAGAACTACCTATAGGTTGGAATTTGAGTCAAGATAGACCCCCCCCTTCTCTCCCAACCCATTGGGGCCCTTTACAGTCATATTGTTGGCCCCTAGTGGTGATATCCTGTAACAAACTTCGTTGTGGGCTAACAAGGGAATTTCCCATCATGCTCCTGGGCTCTACAGGGTAACAAACGTTTGTGGGCTCCAAGTTTCATATTCTGCTCTTCTGTTACAAAACAACTCTTCCCTGAGATCCTGGGGGAAGACGAGGGGAACGCCGTACAGCAGAGGCCTGAGATGAGCCACATGACATCATACTCTGCATCGCACACACAATGGAAATCTATCGCACGCTAACCCGTATCACTGTTGTCCTGCTGGACTGCAGAGCACCGTCCCTGATCATCATATAGTGGGGGGAGGTTCTGTAGTCCAGCAGGGAGAAGTCCGGTGGGGGCAGACAAAGCTGCTGGGGAAATGAACATGTCACACAGATGTACTGCATTTCCATTGTTTAGCTTGTAGCTGAAATACAGGAAAATGGCTGATCAATCTACCAAATTATTTGTATTTCTATCCATCCAGTCCTGAAGATTTGCACAGCCCTGTCACACGTTACATAGTCTGGTTGAAAAAAGTCAAAAGTCCATCCAGTTCAATCATTAAAAAAAAAATATATATAATCCTACACCCACAGTTGATCCAGAGAAAGACAGACACCCAGCAAAGCACGATCCGATCTCCTCCTGCAGGGAAACATTCCTTCCTGATCCCCCGAGAGGCAATCGGATATTCCCTGGATCAATAATCGGATATTCCCGGGATCAATAATCCCTATAAATGTTATATCCAGCTATATTCTGTGTATCCAAGAAAGAATCCAGGACTTTCCTACAGCAACCCACTGAGCTGTCCACAACCAACTCTGGAGGGAGTCTATTCCACATTCTCAGCTCTTACTGTGAAGAAACCTTTCCGTGTTTGGAGATGACATTTCTTTTCCTCCAGACGTAAAGAGCGCCCCCTTGTCCTCTGTGATGACCTCAGGGGGAATAACTACACCGAGTTCACTATATGAACCACTGATGTATTATACATGGAGATCATATCCCCCCTTATGTATTATACATGGAGATCATATCCCCCCCTTATGTATTATACATGGAGATCATATCCCCCCCTTATGTATTATACATGGAGATCATATCCCCCCTTATGTATTATACATGGAGATCATATCCTCCCCTTATGTATTATACATGGAGATCATATCCCCCCCCTTATGTATTATACATGGAGATCATATCCCCCCTTATGTATTATACATGGAGATCATATCCCCCCTTATGTATTATACATGGAGATCATATCCCCCCCTTATGTATTATACATGGAGATCATATCCCCCCTTATGTATTATACATGGAGATCATATCCCCCCCTTTTGTATTATACATGGGGATCATATCCCCCCCCTTATGTATTATACATGGAGATCATATTCCCCCTTATGTATTATACATGGTGATCATATAAGAGCCCCCCCTTATGTATTATACATGGAGATCATATCCCCCCCTTATGTATTATACATGGAGATCATATCCCCCCCTTATGTATTATACATGGAGATCATATCCCCTCCTTATGTATTATACATGGAGATCATATCCCCCCCTTATGTATTATACACGGAGATCATATCCCCCCTTATGTATTATACATGGAGATCATATCCCCCCTTATGTATTATACATGGAGATCATATCCCCCCCTTATGTATTATACATGGAGATCATATCCCCCTTATGTATTATACATGGAGATCATATCCCCCCTTATGTATTATACATGGAGATCATATCCCCCCCTTATGTATTATACATGGAGATCATATCCCCCCCTTATGTATTATACATGGAGATCATATCCCCCTTATGTATTATACATGGAGATCATATCCCCCCCTTATGTATTATACATGGAGATCATATCCCCCCTTATGTATTATACATGGAGATCATATCCCCCTTATGTATTATACGTGGAGATCATATCCCCCCTTATGTATTATACATGGAGACCATATCCCCCCTTATGTATTATACGTGGAGATCATATCCCCCCTTATGTATTATACTGTGGAGATCATATCCCCCTTATGTATTATACATGGAGATCATATCCCCCCTTATGTATTATACATGGAGATCATATCCCCCCCTTATGTATTATACATGGAGATCATATCCCCCCTTATGTATTATACATGGAGATCATATCCCCCTTATGTATTATACGTGGAGATCATATCCCCCCTTATGTATTATACGTGGAGATCATATCCCCCCTTATGTATTATACATGGAGATCATATCCCCCCCCCCCCTTATGTATTATACGTGGAGATCATATCCCCCCTTATGTATTATACGTGGAGATCATATCCCCCCCTTATGTATTATACATGGAGATCATATCCCCCTTATGTATTAATACGTGGAGATCATATCCCCCCTTATGTATAATACGTGGAGATCATATCCCCCCTTATGTATTATACATGGAGATCATATCCCCCCTTATGTATTATACATGGAGATCATATCCCCCCTTATGTATTATACATGGAGATCATATCCCCCTTATGTATTATACGTGGTGATCACATCATCCCCCCCCTTATGTATTATACGTGGAGATCATATCCCCCCCTTATGTATTATACATGGAGATCATATCCCCCCTTATGTATTATACATGGAGATCATATCCCCCTTATGTATTATACGTGGAGATCATATCCCCCCCCCTTATGTATTATACGTGGAGATCATATCCCCCCTTATGTATTATACGTGGAGATCATATCCCCCCCTTATGTATTATACGTGGAGATCATATCCCCCCTTATGTATTATACATGGAGATCATATCCCCCCCTTATGTATTATACATGGAGATCATATCCCCCCTTATGTATTATACATGGAGATCATATCCCCCCTTATGTATTATACATGGAGATCATATCCCCCCCTTATGTATTATACATGGAGATCATATCCCCCCTTATGTATTATACATGGAGATCATATCCCCCCTTATGTATTATACATGGAGATCATATCCCCCCCTTATGTATTATACATGGAGATCATATCCCCCCTTATGTATTATACATGGAGATCATATCCCCCTTATGTATAATACGTGGAGATCATATCCCCCCCTTATGTATTATACATGGAGACCATATCCCCCCTTATGTATTATACGTGGAGATCATATCCCCCCTTATGTATTATACGTGGAGATCATATCCCCCCTTATGTATTATACATGGAGATCATATCCCCCCCTTATGTATTATACATGGAGATCATATCCCCCCTTATGTATTATACATGGAGATCATATCCCCCTTATGTATTATACATGGAGATCATATCCCCCTTATGTATTATACGTGGAGATCATATCCCCCCTTATGTATTATACGTGGAGATCATATCCCCCCTTATGTATTATACATGGAGATCATATCCCACCCCCCCCCCTTATGTATTATACGTGGAGATCATATCCCCCCCTTATGTATTATACGTGGAGATCATATCCCCCCCTTATGTATTATACATGGAGATCATATCCCCCCTTATGTATAAATATGGAGATCATATCCCCCCTTATGTATAAATACGTGGAGATCATATCCCCCCCTTATGTATTATACATGGAGATCATATCCCCCCTTATGTATTATAACATGGAGATCATATCCCCCCTTATGTATTATACATGGAGATCATATCCCCCTTATGTATTATACGTGGTGATCACATCACCCCCTTATGTATTATACGTGGAGATCATATCCCCCCCTTATGTATTATACATGGAGATCATATCCCCCCTTATGTATTATACATGGAGATCATATCCCCCTTATGTATTATACGTGGAGATCATATCCCCCCCCCCTTATGTATTATACGTGGAGATCATATCCCCCCTTATGTATTATACGTGGAGATCATATCCCCCCCTTATGTATTATACGTGGAGATCATATCCCCCCTTATGTATTATACATGGAGATCATATCCCCCCCTTATGTATTATACATGGAGATCATATCCCCCCTTATGTATTATACATGGAGATCATATCCCCCTTATGTATTATACATGGAGATCATATCCCCCCCTTATGTATTATACATGGAGATCATATCCCCCCTTATGTATTATACATGGAGATCATATCCCCCCTTATGTATTATACATGGAGATCATATCCCCCCCTTATGTATTATACATGGAGATCATATCCCCCCTTATGTATTATACATGGAGATCATATCCCCCTTATGTATTATACATGGAGATCATATCCCCCCCTTATGTATTATACATGGAGATCATATCCCCCTTAATCTCCTCTTCTCAGTAGAGAATACATTCCATTCCTCTAATCTCTCCTCATAGCTGATCTCCTCCATACCTCGTATCAGTTTGGTTGCCCTTCTCTGTATTTCCTCCAGTTCCCCAATGTTCTTTTTTGTGAATTGGAGCCCAAAACTGAGCTGCATATTCCAGATGAGGTCTTACTAATGATTTGTACCTTACATTTATCAACATTAGACCTCATTGGTCCCCCAATTACACAGAGAATTGTAAGTTGGAGACATCCTGTAAGGACGTTATTCCCGGCCCAGCTGCTAGGAAAGTGTCTCGGGGGATTTGTTTTATATACTCCGATTGAGTTAGGGTTACCATATGTCATATTTGCCATGTGCAGCCAGCAGGTGGCATACTAGTGGCCACTGACTCCAGGTTTCCTGCTGTAATTTACTATTATACTGTGCCTAGCCTCTGTCACTACATGTCCTGCTATATATTACAGACAGCAAGTCTCACTTCTCTGTCTGCAGAATTCCCCACAAGGATCTTCAAATAAACAGAAGGAAGGGGTCAGGCAGTGCTGGGCCCTCCTATTAGAAAGCCCCGTATTATTCTCCAATATAAACGATCGGTCAGTAAATATCCAATAAGAAGTCATAACCACAATTCACCAAACAACAAAATCGCCCAGAGAAGTCAGACACAACTGTCACTTCCTGGGAGCTGCTCCTTGCTGGGGATTCGCTGGCTTCTCACCTCTGACCTGTCTGATTGATGGTCTGAGCCATGGAAAAGGATGAAGATTGCCAGCTGCACAGACCCCCCCCCCCCCCTCCTTTACACGTTCTGTTTATTACTAATTCATAGACACGCGGGAAGCAGAAAGACGACATTTTAATCATTGGCAGTTCAGAGAAAACGTTCCATCTGGGGGTGCAGTACTTCTCACTACTAGGGGGCCACGCCCATCAGAGGAGGCCACGCCCATCAGAGGAGGCCACGCCCATCAGTCATTGACCTCCATCCAGCTCACATTCACAAAGGTTCGGGGGTCCATTTTATCGATGTAGAGGACGCCGTCCAGGTGATCGATCTCATGCTGCACCATGCGAGCCGCCCAGCCCCGGGTCCTCCAGCTGCTCTGCTCCCCTTCCTCATTCAGCCCTGGAAAAGACATTGGAGATGGAGGAGAGTGAAGGATCTGCGTGATGTCAGGTCGGGATATTCTGAGACACAATGAAGAGGGAGACCCAGCCGTGCCGCTCAGACCGGAATATAGGAAATCTGGGCCCCCCCGGGCCCTTCACCCCACCAAGTACCTCCCTGTACCCACCTATGACAGAGGTGACAAACCCCGCCCAGAAATGTTCTACATTCCATCTCACCGATCATTGGATGTGGCGGCTGCATTTGTTTTCTTTTTTTTTAGGCTTTTCCCCTCTGTTTTCACCTTGTGATCTGGTCTATAACACACCTCCTGTATTAGAGCACCCCCACTCTGGAGGAAGGAGCACAGGGGGCACCTTTGGACAGCAGCATTGTCAGTCTGGGGGGAGTGGAGTGTGAGGTGGACTAGCAGATTTAGATACACTAACAAACTGAAGCCAAACTCCAGCTCACTCTTTATAATCCGTTACAGAAACTTTTTTTTTTACATCGATAAATTAGGTGAACTGATACATTCTGCTGGGGAACTTGTGCTTTCAAGAAAGATTTAGGCTGGCCATACATTATACAATTTTCTTCAGATTTTCGGTTTAGATTTACCAAAAACGATATATTACGAGGTCAAACCTAACAACACGTTCAGTTGTATCCAATTAGGCCGGCCCTTCCACTACATAGTTGAAGGCAAATCTAAAGGAAATTGTATAGTGTATGGCCAGCCTTACTGGCTGCATCACCAGATGAGAATAGAAGAATGTCTAAAAAAAGAAAACTAATGCAGCCGTCACATCTAAGAATCGGTAGGCTGCCATGTAAGAAATGTGCGCCTTTCTGGTTCTCTGACCCAATTGTTCCATAATGTGCCTTGTGATGTGCATCCCTCCCTGCGTGGGAACAGTTGGGTTGTTTCCATTTCTAATTCTCAATCATAATTATTGTACCAGAAATGTTGGATTTTGGGTTTAATACGGCTTTAGGGTCGGTTCACTCCATAGAAACCCAGTCCAGGTGCCTTCCGGATGCGCCCCTGCATGTGCATTTTGGATGCGTTCCGGTTTATTTTTTCCCTCTTTTTTTCTTCAATTTGAATAGGGAAATGTGCGTTCCGGTGCATCCTACCGCGTTCCGGTGCGTTCCACCGCGTTCCGGTGCGTTCCACCGCGTTCCGGTGCAGTTCTGTGCAGGAAAAATGCTGCCGGTTCTACTTTTATTTCTGCAACCGGAACGTTAAGCGCTGATGTGAACGATGACACCGACAACCATATCACCGACTTTCTGTGCGTTTTGCATGGAGTGTGACCCGGCCCTTAAAGTAGGACTAAGGCTACGTTCACACCAGCGTTGTGAGAGGCGGCAGAGAGGCGTTTGGGAAGCGTTTTTACCGCTTCCCGAACGCCTCTGCCAATTCTGCACATTACAGCACATGGTGCTGTTCTAACGGGAGCGTTTGCGTCGCGGCAAAACGGACGCCTCTGGTCGAGTCAGGAGGTGTTGAAGCCTCCTATTCTCGCCTATGGTGCCGCTCCGCAAACGCCCGGCCGGCGTTTGCGGTGCGGTTGCGGGGCGTTTGCGGAGCGGTAACACCACTCAAACTGCATTATAGGCGTTTGTGGGGCGTTAACGCTCGTCGAACGCCTAGCAACCGCCGCTAAACCGCGCATGCGGCGTTTGTGGAGTGTTTGCTGAGCGTTAAAAAGCGCTCCGCAAATGCCGGACCAACGCTTGCCAAACACTATAGGGGTGTTTGGCAAGCGTTGGTAAAACAGCCAAGTGTGAACGAGCCCTATAGGTAACACTGGACTTCGGACGCCATAGGCCTGCATTCGGCTGCCATTTTACAGTCCCAATGCAAGACAAAGCTAAATGCCCCGCCCCCTCCAGGCCAGTTGACACGACGCACTTTTCCGCACAGTGCAGCATTCCACCGCCTCGCACCACGGCCAGCAGAACCTAATGAAATGTCACTTTGTAACATTTCAATAAAGATTGTTTAAAAACAAAAACCAGCAAAGCGTGCAATGTGCTGGGATCAGCGCACTGGCCATGTTGTCACCCTAGAGCACTGACTGGTGAGAAGGGGTCCTAAAGGAGGGCTCTAACCCCTAACAGCTTCTTGGCATCTGCGTCCCATGGGGGAGATTTTCCTTCACTTCCTGTCCATAACCACAACAGGAAGTGAGAGGAAATCCCTTCACCCCAGGTTTAGGACAAATTGTGACAGACCATGTGACCTCCTCCCATGAATCAGCCAATCGCGGATATGGGGGGGAAGGGGACAGTACAAATCATAAGCACAACAATTTCGCAGGATAATTGCGGACGCACCCGATTCCACTTTCCCCGATACCCGGCCTGTCCGGCGCCTGATACTCTCTGCAGTGCTTTGAAATGTTGGCAACGTGCAGATATAGAGGATAACGACCATAGGGGGCGCCGATGCCTCGCCGGTGCGGTCTGGTACCAGACTCCTCCCACTTCCTGTCTATCTCACAGATTTCCAACAGCCAAGACGGAAAGATTAGAGCCTCTGTTGGGGTGTTTGCGCTCCTCGTGTCCCCAATGATGAGTTTTTCCTCAGTTCCTGGCCGGTGACAGGACAACAAAACAGGAAGTGAGGGGAATCTCCCAAAAGGGGACGGACAGCATTAAAATTTAGTCCAAAAAGGTGGTAAAAAATCAGCACAAGGGTCTCAACGCATAGACTGCAAGTAATGTCCCTTGTGCTGATTGATGCAGAAAAAAGGGGAATCTTCTGCACTCCTCCCTGCTGCAAAATCGTCTGGTGCTGCGGGGTTAGCAGAGTTGAGGGACCTATCATAGGCACTCCTCTACGCCCGCCATCTGCACCCTCCTCCTATGAATGACATGTAATCCATGAATGGAGATGAGCTCATGAATGAACGTCGGCCTCCTCCATTCACAGCTCAGCTTCTAGGAATGCAGGAGATTGGCAGAAAGGACGGCCATAGCAGTAGGACAGGTTCAGCTCTATTAACCCCCGCAGCACCAGAAGTGATCAGAAGACGCAGGATTTCAACATTCTACATCCATCAGCACAAGGGACTCATCCCATAGACTGCAAGGAATGTCCCTTGTGCTGATTTGTTTAAAAAACCTTTTTTGACTAAAGTTAGGCTTTACAAACCTGATGGCCACTCCAACCTTTTCCCCATTTCATCCAAAAGTCAAAGTTTTGGCCGGAGTTCGGCTTTAATTCTGAACGTTTAACAGCCAATCAGATTCTTGTGATATGGAAGAAATAAAGGTAAAGATTCGTTGTTTGCTGTGAAATATCAGACAGGCAAAGCCTCCCCCAACCTCTGACATAGGTGTAATGGGAGGGGCTTACCTGACAACCCCAGGAATGGGAGGGGCTTACCTGACACCCTACTGGAATGGGGGAGGGGCTTACCTGACAACCCCCAGGAATGGGAGGGGCTTACCTGACAACCCCCAGGAATGGGAGGGGCTTACATGACAACCCCCAGGAATGGGAGGGGCTTACATGACAACCCCCAGGAATGGGAGGGGCTTACATGACAACCCCCAGGAATGGGAGGGGCTTACCTGACAACCCCCAGGAATGGGAGGGGCTTACCTGACAACCCCCAGGAATGGGAGGGGCTTACCTGACAACCCCCTGGAATGGGAGGGGCTTACCTGACAACCCCCTGGAATGGGAGGGGCTTACCTGACAACCCCCTGGAATGGGAGGGGCTTACCTGACAACCCCCTGGAATGGGAGGGGCTTACCTGACAACCCCTGTGAAATGGGAGGAGCTTACCTGACAACCCCCTGGAAGGGGCTTACCAGATAACCCCTGTGGAATGGGAGGGGCTTACCTGACAACCCCCTGGAAGGGGCTTACCTGACAACCCCCTGGAATGGGATGGGCTTACCTGACAACCCCCTGGAAGGGGCTTACCAGACAACCCCTGTGGAATGGGAGGGGCTTACCTGACAACCCCCTGGAAGGGGCTTACCTGACAACCCCCTGGAAGGGGAGGGGCTTACCTGACAACCCCCTGGAATAGGAGGGGCTTACCTGACAACCCGTGTAATGGGAGGGGCTTACCTGACAACCCGTGTAATGGGAGGGGCTTACCTGACAACCCGTGTAATGGGAGGGGCTTACCTGACAACCCGTGTAATGGGAGGGGCTTACCTGACAACCCGTGTAATGGGAGGGGCTTACCTGACAACCCCCAGGAATGGGAGGGGCTTACCTGACACCTCCACAGAGTGGCAGCGCGGCACCACAGCGGAGAAGCCTTGCACACTGCTGCAACCTTCTGGGAAGCTGAGGCTTTGAGAGTCCAGGATCTGCATGGTCGGGTTAATGAAGATCTTCAGAGGGAAGGGCTCCATTTCTCGAAATTTCCCGCACATCTGGAGGAACCATCTGATAAAGATGTTCTGGGAGTTCCAGCACCATGACACGTAGCGGAACCCCCAGCTGAGGGGCGCTCAGACCCACGCAGCCACACGACCTCATGACCTGCGTCATCCTCTTCAGCAAGGCTTGCGTTTCAGGGTGCCGGATGCGTTCTGGAGGAACAAGCTGAGCATGGCCACGCAAGACTGGATCTCCGGTCTGCGCCACTCGCTTGTATGGTGGGGCGGGGGTGCCCAGGACTGACCTCTTCAGATACCGCCAATAACTGCGCTTCTTACCGCTAGTCCAGGAGGAGCTCCGGTTGAGACGACTGCAGACCACCGAGGAGAGAACCGTGCGAGGATCGGGACAGGAGACCAAACACCCTGCAGGCTCCATTCACCAACATGGCTGGGAAACCTACAAACAAGACAGCCATTGAGGAGCCGCACACACAAAGCCAATACAGTTCACGATGAATGAGGACCCTTCTGGTACCCCTATACTGGTGATCTGGGGGGCCCTATGGAGGAGACGCTCAGATGTGAGAACTCTGTGAAGGCGCCATGCAGCGCCGGTCCTCTTACCTACAGAAAATAAAGCGGAACTCCGCTGATGGCCCTCAAGGCTTCTGCCAGAATCGTCGTCATCAGAATTCCGGAGAACTTTCCAACAAGAAGTCATCCGATAGACTGAGGAGAAATGTCCGGAAATCTGTCTGTGTGACCGAGACGCCAACACTTCCCACTCCATCCACAACGGAAACCAGGCTCTTCAGAGAAACGCCAATTCCAGACATGTGACCAGGGATGGCCAATCACCATCTGACAGCAGTGCAGCCCGGCGATGGAGCACAACCCACAGGAGATACAACCAAGGAGCCATGCCAGGTCCTCCTATATACTGTCCCAGGTCAGGGACTCCGGGGAAGGGGCGGGGTCTACTGTATACTGTCCCAGGTCAGGGACTCCGGGGGGAAGGGGCGGGGACTACTGTATACTGTCCCAGGTCAGGGACTCCGGGGAAGGGCGGGGTCTACTGTATACTGTCCCAGGTCAGGGACTCCGGGGGAAGGGGCGGGGACTACTGTATACTGTCCCAGGTCAGGGACTCCGGGGAAGGGGCGGGGACTACTGTATATTGTCCCAGGTCTGGGACTCTGGGGAAGGGCGGGGACTACTGTATACTGTCCCAGGTCAGGGACTCCGGGGAATACTGTATACTGTCTCAGGTCAGGGACTCCGGGGGAAGGGCGGGGACTACTGTATACTGTCCCAGGTCAGGGACTCCGGGGGAAGGGGCGGGGACTACTGTATACTGTCCCAGGTCAGGGACTCCGGGGAAGGGGGGGGGACTACTGTATATTGTCCCAGGTCTGGGACTCTGGGGAAGGGCGGGGACTACTGTATACTGTCCCAGGTCAGGGACTCCGGGGAATACTGTATACTGTCTCAGGTCAGGGACTCCGGGGAAGGGCGGGGACTACTGTATACTGTCCCAGGTCAGGGACTCCGGGGAAGGGGTGGGGGACTACTGTATACTGTCCCAGGTCAGGGACTCCGGGGGAAGGGGCGGGGACTACTGTATACTGTCCCAGGTCAGGGACTCCGGGGAAGGGGCGGGGACTACTGTATACTGTCCCAGGTCAGGGACTCCGGGGAAGGGGTGGGGACTACTGTATACTGTCCCAAGTCAGAGACTCCGGGGAAGGGCGGGGACTACTGTATACTGTCCCAGGTCAGGGACTCCGGGGGAAGGGGCGGGGACTACTGTATACTGTCCCAGGTCAGGGACTCCGGGGAAGGGGCGGGGACTACTGTATACTGTCCCAGGTCAGGGACTCCGGGGGAAGGGGCGGGGACTACTGTATACTGTCCCAGGTCTGGGACTCTGGGGAAGGGGCGGGGACTACTGTATACTGTCCCAGGTCTGGGACTCCGGGGAAGGGGCGGGGACTACTGTATACTGTCCCAGGTCAGGGACTCCGGGGAAGGGCGGGGACTACTGTATACTGTCCCAGGTCAGGGACTCCGGGGGAAGGGGCGGGGACTACTGTATACTGTGCCAAGTCAGACTCCGGGGAAGGGCGGGGACTACTGTATACTGTCCCAGGTCAGAGACTCCGGGGAAGGGCGGGGACTACTGTATACTGTCCCAGGTCAGGGACTCCGGGGGAAGGGCGGGGACTACTGTATACTGTCCCAGGTCAGGGACTCCGGGGAAGGGGGGCGGGGACTACTGTATACTGTCCCAGGTCTGGGACTCCGGGGAAGGGCGGGGACTACTGTATACTGTCCCAGGTCAGGGACTCCGGGGAAGGGGTGGGGACTACTGTATACTGTCCCAGGTCAGGGACTCCGGGGAAGGGGTGGGGACTACTGTATACTGTCCCAGGTCTGGGACTCTGGGGAAGGGCGGGGACTACTGTATACTGTCCCAAGTCAGAGACTCCGGGGAAGGGCGGGGACTACTGTATACTGTCCCAGGTCAGGGACTCCGGGGAATACTGTATACTGTCCCAGGTCTGGAACTCCGGGGAAGGGCGGGGACTACTGTATACTGTCTCAGGTCAGGGACTCCGGGGAAGGGCGGGGACTACTGTATACTGTCCCAGGTCAGGGACTCCGGGGAAGGGCGGGGACTACTGTATACTGTCTCAGGTCAGGGACTCCGGGGAAGGGCGGGGGACTACTGTATACTGTCTCAGGTCAGGGACTCCGGGGAAGGGCGGGGACTACTGTATAGTGTCCCAGGTTGGAGACTGTAGGGAAGGGGCGGGGACTACTGTATACTGTCCCAGGTCGGGGACTCCGGGGAAGGGCAGGGACTACTATATACTGTCCCAGGTCAGGGACTCTGGGGAAGGGGCGGGGACTACTGTATACTGTCCCAGGTCAGGGACTCCGGGGAAGGGCAGGGACTACTATATACTGTCCCAGGTCAGGGACTCTGGAGAAGGGCGGGGACTACTGTATACTGTCCCAGGTTGGAGACTCTGGGGAAGGGCGGGGTACTGTATACTGTCCCAGGTCAGGGACTCCCGGGGGAGGGCGGGGATGACTGTATACTGTCCTAGGTCAGGGACTCCGGGGGTATACTGTCCTAGGTGGGGACTCCGGGGAAGGGTGGGGGACTCCGGGGGGAGGGGCGGGAACTACTGTATACTGTCCTAGGTCAAGGGGCGGGGGCTACTGTATACTGTCCCTGGGACTGTCCCAGGTCGTGGACTCCGGGGAAGGGGCAGAGACTACTGTATACTGTCCCAGGTCGGGGACTCTGGGGAAGGGGTGGGGACTCCAGGGAAGGGGCGGGGACTACTGTATACTGTCCCAGGTTGGGGACTCTGGGGAAGGGGCGGGGACTACTGTATACTGTTACCCCCCCCCCAGAGGGACCTCAATGGGGTGGACTGGAGAAACTCTGGGGGCGGGGCAATAAGTGTGGCCACCAGAGGGCACCTCCCAGGGCAGTAATGTCATTTCCCCTTATACAGGCAGAAAGGAGAAAGAGGAGCGAGTCTGAAAATACCGAACTTCTGGCTGCTGGTTGTAATCGGGGAAACCAGACGAGTTTTATCTTTTACAATCCTCCCCTCCCCCCTAATACCCCCCTCGATCCTTCCTCCCCTCCCCCCTAATACCCCCCTCGATCCTTCCTCCCCATCCCCCACAAATTCACACAGAAATCACCTCCTGGGATCAGGAACACCTGACAGATCTACAGAGGGGGAGGAGACGGGACAGCCTGCCCCCCCCCCCCCCCTCAAGCCCTCACTCATCCTCCATGTGTCTCCCCCCCAGCCCTCACTCATCCTCCATGTGTCTCCCCTCCAACCCCTCACTCATCCTCCATGTGTCTCCCCCCCAGCCCTCACTCATTCTCCATGTGTCTCCCCCCAGCCCTCACTCATTCTCCATGTGCCCCCTCATCCTCCATGTGTCCCCCCTCCAGCCCTCACTCATCCTCCATGTGTCCCCTCCAGCCCTCACTCATCCTCCATGTGTCCCCTCCAGCCCTCACTCATCCTCCATGTGTCTCCCCCCCAGCCCTCACTCATCCTCCATGTGTCCCACCTCCAGCCCTCACTCATTCTCCATGTGCCCCCTCATCCTCCATGTGTCCCCCTCCAGCCCTCACTCATCCTCCATGTGTCCCCCCTCCAGCCCTGACTCATCCTCCATGTGTCCCCTCCAGCCCTCACTCATTCTCCATGTGCCCCCTCATCCTCCATGTGTCCCCCTCCAGCCCTCACTCATCCTCCATGTGTCCCCCCTCCAGCCCTCACTCATCCTCCATGTGTCCCCTCCAGCCCTCACTCATCCTCCATGTGTCCCCTCCAGCCCTCACTCATTCTCCATGTGCCCCCTCATCCTCCATGTGTCCCCCTCCAGCCCTCACTCATCCTCCATGTGTCCCCTCCAGCCCTCACTCATCCTCCATGTGTCCCCCCTCCAGCCCTCACTCATCCTCCATGTGTCCCCTCCAGCCCTCACTCATCCTCCATGTGTCCTCCCTCCAGCCCTCACTCATCCTCCATGTGTCCTCCCTCCAGCCCTCACTCATCCTCCATGTGTCTCCCCTCCAGCCCTCACTCATCCTCCATGTGTCCCACCTCCAGCCCTCACTCATTCTCCATGTGCCCCCTCATCCTCCATGTGTCCCCCCTCCAGCCCTCACTCATCCTCCATGTGTCCCCTCCAGCCCTCACTCATCCTCCATGTGTCCTCACCTCTCCCACCTCCGGCTCACACATTACACGTCATTCTACCCCAGAGGCTGTTGGGAGTTGTAGTTTCCTGTCACGTGGTAAGTGTAGCTCCTCCCAGTAGCTCTACCCCGGGGGTCCCGCAGTCAGCGTGTCATACCTTCACCCCGGGGGTCCCGCACTCGGCGTGTCATACCTTCACCCCGGGGGTCCCGCACTCGGCGTGTCATACCTTCACCCCGGGGGTCCCGCACTCGGCGTGTCATACCTTCACCCCGGGGGTCCCGCACTCGGCGCGTCATACGTTCACCCCGGGGGTCCCGCACTCGGCGTGTCATACTTCACCCCGGGGGTCCCGCACTCGGCGCGTCATACCTTCACCCCGGGGGTCCCGCACTCCGCGTGTCATACCTTCACCCGGGGGTCCCGCACTCAGGGTGTCATACCTTCACCCCGGGGATCCCGCAATCCGCGTGTCATACCTTCACCTCGGGGGGTCCCGCACTCGGCGTGTCACACCTTCACCCCGGGGGTCCCGCACTCGGCGTGTCACACCTTCACCCCGGGGGTCCCGCACTCGGCGTGTCACACCTTCACCCCGGGGGTCCCGCACTCGGCGTGTCACACCTTCACCCCGGGGGTCCCGCACTCGGCGCGTCGTCACACCTTCACCCCGGGGGGGTCCCGCACTCGGCGCGTCACACCTTCACACCCGGGGGTCCCGCACTCGGCGCGTCACACACCTTCACCCGGGGGTCCCGCACTCGGCGCGTCACACCTTCACCCCGGGGGTCCCGCACTCGGCGCGTCACACCTTCACCCCCGGGGGTCCCGCACTCGGCGCGTCACACCACCTTCACCCCGGGGGTCCCGCACTCGGCGCGTCACACCTTCACCCCGGGGGTCCCGCACTCGGGCGTCGTCACACACCTTCACCCCGGGGGTCCCGCACCCTGTCACACCTTCACCCCGGGGGTCCCGCACTCGGGGCGTCACACCTTCACCCCGGGGGTCCCGCACTCGGGGTGTCACACCTTCATCCCGGGGA